GTGGAGTCTGACCAAACATCCTTTCTCAGCCCTTCCACAAATAATGCTGGCTACAGCCACCGCCTCCAGCAATAGTGCCACCTACATTTGAGAATTTTTTGTGCGCTGATATTTTTTTCTCGGTTGATTACTTTTCGCGATTTTTTTAGCGTTACAAATGTGCTATCTTTCGGTAGTTGAAAAGTCAGTAAGATGGTAGATAGGATGGGAATGCGAGATAAACCAGAGTTGCGTTCTGCGAAAATTTTCCCTAGTTACAGGATGTGCCCTGACTGTGGGTGTGTACGAAGCGATCAGGGGCAAGCCCCAAGTGGCTGGCCATTGGAGAACACCAATAGCACACAGCCCCGCAGTGGCTGCGCGTCTGCGATACCCCTCCCCCTTCGCGAACAGCCTAATGTGACTTGTGACAATAAATAAAGGAAAGGTATCTTTGCGATAAGTGGGCTTCGTAGCCAACTACCAATTGGGGGTCTTAAGAATAGTATAATTTCAGGTTTTGCCAGATCCCAGACATGTGATTTATCGGAACGATGAAGGCCTTGTATTCTTTCGGCGTCATGGTTCAAACAAAATGATACCAATCGCCGATCTGATAACGTTCCATAATACACTCTACATAGAGGAGTAAGTTTTCTAGTGTAATACATCGTTCAGATTTCGCGATGAGCGCGTCGAGATAACGCTCCAGTGTTATAAACGCGGACGCAGCCAAAGTCGAGAATCGATCGGCCGGCCGCTTGTGTTGAGAGGAAGTATGGGGATAAGGGAAATACGCGTCGCGTAATCACGCAGTCCGGTATCGATCGGCACTGGCAGCTAGTGCTTTGAAAGAATGTAAAGGAATGGGAGGGTACCAGATTGTGTGAGGGCAGCGCCTAGACTCCTGTTATCCTATACACTCTCAAAACGCCATCGCCAAGTGATTCCCGTCTGCGGCTACCTTCACATCTATAGCGTAGCGGCGCCTTTGCAGTTGGTAGTGGGTCGACGCGCTCCATCGCGAGTTCTAAACGCTGCTTAATCTAAAAGTACGTTCTGAACGCCGCTTAATTGAAAAGTACATCTACGATATGCCACTCAGAAGAATGTACCAATCCATAGCAGAATATGCAAATGGGACTTTATCTGGGAGAAACTGAAGATTAGTTGAGAGGTATTAAAAGGCGCACTAGCAAAGCTGAATGCCCGCGCGGGTTGTCACAGTCAAGTAGAGGTGGACCCGTTATTGCAGAGATCACTGTCTCAGTGGGAAGACGCAGACGAGCAGATTGTCCCTTGGCTGACTAGCCATTCACTTACTTTAGCGTATTTAGTTAAACTGCTATAACGACTGCATATCAAACCTATTACAGCGCGGAAACAGAGCGAGAGCAACTCCAGCAAGATACTCGCGAAAGCAAGGACGACGCCAGCTCAACCGCCACAAACTCATTTGGATTCCGTTTTCCATTTCTCGAGTCATTAGCCCGTTTTTTCGGTCTGAGATCAAATCGCGTTTGAGCTCTTGGTTGCTGCTCGAACTCACTCTATATTCGAATGCTCCGCTCTATTTTTTCAGTTGCTCGGTCACTATCAAGAAGGCTCCGCTACATTTTTTTTTTAGTAAACATGGGACGAACAGTACGCTCATCTACGAGGTGGGTCCGTGCCTTGTTGTAGGGGAGTGAGTGTAGAAGACCAGCGCTTTTGTTAGTCGAAGTGGTGCAGAGGTGAGGCTGGAGCGTAATGGAAGATTGACGTCGTTTGTTTATTGGCCCGACATCCACAAGGTGCAGCACGTGCGTGGAGGTCGGGGTTCTGCAGCAAAGATCATAGATGACAAGCTGTCTATAGCGTCCAAGCGTCCAGCACCACAGCTCGCTAACCAAAGGAAAGAGAAGCAGACAAAGACGCGATCGGCTTTCACTGTCAAAGAGGCGTGTCTTTGTGCTGCGTGCTTTGCTTGTGGGTGGAGCTCCAAAGGATCCAACTACCGCTACCCTCCTGCCTCATTTGTGCGTATTTGCTTGTGACAAAAGAATCGCACTCCTACGGCTGCGGACCTGTGCACATGGCAAGGATCAGGAATCTCAGAGGTGAGCGTACAGATCTTCAAGTCAGTAACGCGGCGCTCAGAGAAGGCGTGTCCACAGTCTTGAAAATTCTATACTGGGTGGATAGGCCCACGCCGCTTACTGACGCACATCTGCGGAGTGTTGCTAGCTTAAAATCAGAGATGAGATGATGAGCTGCCCAGCCACCCGCACACTTAAGCACACGCTGTTACGTCTCTTGATGTCTCTGCTATAAACCGGCAATCCTCCACATGCCCCCCCCCGCGTACAAAATCAGATTGACACGCCCTCCTTCAAGCGCCGTGATGTGGACTGTGTCTAGAAATTCACAACATACACGATTAAGAACTTGGTGACTTCTCCTGTGAGTGAGAGCCTCATAATTCAAGAGCACAACACACCATACAACGACTTTTGTTGAGATCACTGTTGTCTTTGGAACTATTGCATGCTTTCAGGTTTTGCAGAATTCACTTGCTATAAGGAGCTTGAAATTATGTCCATTAATTGGCTGTCGGTCAGAAAGTTAGTATTATAGCAAGTTATTTTGCACTTGAATGTAATTTATTGTTTCTGTTAGTAGATAATAAAGCGATTATCTGAAAATGCTAGTAGTTTCGTCGTCGAGCCGACCCTGTCTCTCTGTGACCTATTGTCGCACTTCAGCTCCACAACGCTCAACAGACAGGGAGCGTAGTTGCGGGGCTGAAGTGCGACAATAAGTGACAAAGCTGGAGCACCATAGCTATATGTAATTGTAAAAAAATTACAGTTGAGATGCTCGCAATCAGTCGGGGCGGTTTCAATAGGCATGAATGAGTCACCCGCGGCGGTTTCACCACTGGGTGTCTCGGGAGACGGGCAAGAGAATCGTAAATTGTCGCTCGTTCGTGCGCGGCGATGGGCGCGACGTTTCCTTAAGTTGCACTATGCTTTCGATTGGAGCATCAGATTTTGCATAAACAAGGACGTGGTGGACACTTATGTCTACTTTTGGTCACACATTGTCTATTCTAGGCCATACAGCCTAAAATCGTCTTCATTGCGGGCGCGACGTCGCACGCGCGCCCACTGGTGCTGCGAATTACGATTTCACTTGTCACACACCCGGGTGTTTCCTTGATAAAGCGGTCGTTCACCGCTCATCACTGGTAGAAAAAGCAGCCGGAGACGGGCTTATTTCGGCTCCCTGAAACCGCCCCGACTGATTGTGGGGATATCAGCTATGCACCGTACCTTCAACATGTAGCGGATTTGTTGTTTTGGTAAATACGTAACACTGTCCCATGATGGTACCGATATTGTAGAGATTTCCATCGGGGTCATTATGAAAATGCGCTGTGTAGGTGTGAAGGCTGACTTTCGCGTGTTTACGGATGTCCACCTGGAAGGGCGTTCATTAAACAAGACAAAGTCTAGACGAGTACCAGCTATTAGTAGCCTATCAGAGGTGCGACTTGTGGTTTGCTGCCGTGGGCGGTTGCGAAGCGGCTGGTCGAGCATCATGCCGCAGTGCCGATTTCAGGCAGGAAAATGCCAAGAATATGTTATTTGTGTCCGTCAAGGCTCAAAAATCGTGCGTAATCCAGGCGCTTCGCGACCGCACGCTTCTCAGCACTACCAATTGCGCTGGGGTGGTAACATGGTACTGTGGCAACCAACCTCTTCTAGATAATCAAGATTGTCAATATCGATCCGAACAAGCCTTGGCGATTCGGTCAGCGCGTACACGCCATCTCCAGCAGTGACAAAGGCCACACTGGCGTTATCGATACATCGTTTATCTGGTATGAAGTAAGAGAATAGCCTGAAAAGTGCAGATTTACGCAAGAAGGCTTGTGTAGTTGCGGGATAAGGGGGGGGGGCTGGTGATGGACGGGACTAAGCCACACTCTTCTCTGCTCGTCTACGCTCTCTATAAGGCTGAGTCTCTTGGAAACAGAATCAGTGGCCGAACACTATCTCGATCAGACGAAGAGAAAACTGCTGTGGTCCAGTTTCAGTACCTAATGCCCCTCCCAACTACACTAACGCCCGCACAACATTCGAAAGACAGCATAAGTGTAAATAGTACATACCTCTGGAAAAGTGTCTTACAAGGGTCCGGGAACTCTAATGTTCCAAAAGAGGAACAGATGATTCGATTCGCTTTCATATTCCTTTTGTAGTCGTCACTTTCCAAATATCGTGCTGAGTAATACATCTGAAAAATCGTGCATGAAGTAGCCCTCATTGAGATCGGTACTCCCTATCCGTTCATGGACATTGCACGGTAGTCGGATGGGCGGAGCCGGGCCTGCCAACACGAATTCTTCATTGCCGCTCCCCTTCTGCGGCAACTAGAAGTGGAGCCACAATGAAGATGGTACAGTGTTTGTGAGTCCCCGCCCGTTTGAATATCTCGTGATAGGTGACGGACTCACGCTTGCCATCTTGAAGTGATATTCTGAAATGTACGGCCATACCATCAATTTACCAGTGCTTGCAACTCAGTGTCGACCACATTTTGAAGCATGGCCCGGTCCAGTTACGGACGGCATTGTAAACGTGAAGGGATGATGGGATGCTTCCGGCAAGCTTGGGAAATGACTCGGTGCAAAGAGAGGAGGATTACAAAGATGCTTAGAGAATGGGCGCAGTTTTGGCCGTGTCGTGGTCGGCACCAACTAATGTGTGAAGAGTGGAAATCTGCCCCGGCGACGCAAAGTGGCTACACTGGCGACCATTTTGTAGGCTTCACAGCCGTCGGCCGGGGAGGCTCTCGTAGGTTTCGACAAAAGTGGGACTTCTTACGTAATATGTACGAACGAACGAAAATAGCGGAAAAGCAAGATGCTCCCTCCAAGCCAAACAACACCGAAAAAAGTTGTTCAAAACAATCCATCCTGGAGATCTTCTGTCCCTTTCGATTTTTGCAGCTCTTGTGGAGTGGGACCGTTCTCAAGTTCTCGCACCACTACCGCTGCGTTTTAGGACATTCTAGAATATAACGATATTTCTTTTTGTGAGAGATTCGTAGAAATATCGAGAAATGAATGGAAGAGAAGAATTTAAATAATTGAATGACATTTTTTGCGACAGTTAGGTAGAGTGAGTACCCACACACTGCGCCCTGCTTCCAGTGACGGGTCCGTCCCTTTTGCCTACCGTTCTAGGAAGAGGAGGAGAGGGGAGACACCACGCAGAGAGAGAGAGAGAGAGAAGAGAGAGGAGAGAGAGCACGAGAGAGAGATGAGAGAGAGAGAAAGAGAGAGAGAGAGAGAGCACACCCAGTGGTACACGAGTGCCCGCCCATGGGGTCATCGTGGGAATTTATCTTGAAAGAGTGACAAGAAGACAGGGAAATCGTTAGGCTGCTTTATACTTTGCGGCAGCGTACTCTAGCGTCTTCAGCGTTGCGCAGCTGGGCAGTGGCAAGGGAGGGGAATCGGATGCATATCGATCCACAGCGTAACGCTAGAGCGAGGGCAAGGTAAAGCATAGGGTATCGATTTAGCGTTCTTCAGAGTATATTATGTAGTATGTTTTGTTATATTGTAATATAAAGAGTTTGGTGTTACATAGAGTTTGATTTTTTTCAAAGGGTTTGGCCATTTACCCTCCGCCCCCTTGACCCCGCTCACATGCTTTTTGCGAAGTTGATATTTTTTTTCAGAATTTTTGCGTTTTTGGGCCTGCTACGTGGTCCTCGCCCACTGTAGGCTCCAGCTGCCACTTCTAAAGAGCCCGCCGCGACGCCAACTTGTTCAATGTGGCCAATCGCATTATATAGTCTTGGACTGCATGCTAGGGTCTCGTCGTCACTCGGAACAAACCTTTTGGGCCGCATTCTTTACCGATTATCTTGCAGATTTGTTGGGCCAATCTCTGGCCCATGAATAATTTCTCAAAAGGATCACTCCACCCCTGGCCTGGTGTCTTCCTTGCCGGCCTTTAGGCACGCACGGGGATACCAAAGTGTGGTTACGCGTATATGTTTGTGAGCTGACAATTTGCGGGCCTACAACGTAATAGAGGCAGAGCCAGTAAGCATCAAAGATGAGCTTATTCTTTCAGGTGTGTTTTAGCAGCTAAAGGATTCACTTCGGAATAGGGTCAAGCATTGAGTCAAGGAATCCTTGGGCTCAATAACCCCTCCTTATCTTCCTCTGAGGAGGATGAACGAATACATCGTAGCTGAAGCGGGCAAAAGTCCGCTACGTTACGCCATACATACGACTTTCATTCTGGAATTGTGGAAGCAGAAAGGCTAGTGAAATGCGTTGAAATAGCCCGAACGAAGAAAGCGCTTGAATAACTAAGTATGGTTCTAGTTTGTTTCCTCTTCGATGAGGCCAGGAGATCCAATACACGGTACACGACTCGAAAACTACGATAAAGCCGCGCATCAGCTTGGTTAACTAAATTGACCTCAACTTTCTAGTTATGTTAAAGACACATAGTACGCTCACACACATTGAGGGTGTATGAGACTATCAGCCCCCCAGCTGTCGATGTGTCGTGGTCCCCCCGCCCAAACATGCCCAGGAATGGAGATACAGGACCGTGAAACACGCTAATTCCTCCATGCTCCGCCTTACACCTTTTTGCGGCGCAGATTCCCGTCCTTCATAACATCCGTCGTAAGCGCGCGTGTCGCGTGCGGCTCCTTGGCACTTTGCCAAGTCCTTTAATTGCGCTTTTCAAATACAAGTAAAACGCAATTTCCTGATGCGGATAACATTGGAGGTGCTGCAAAATAAGAACAGAAGATGATGACGAGGGTCAGAACTTAAAAGCAACTGTGCCACTTCTGCAACATCCCTCGGAGGCCGCGTATTTCCACGAAACATGAAAATAAAAACGGCATACTCGTTAGTTTGATACAAGCAAAACGCAATTTCCTGATGCGAATAAAATTTTAGGTGGTGTTGCTCATGCTTCAAAACCATGTACAAGGAGATGAAGATGACACAGGCTAGAAATGAAGCACAACGATGTAAATGTAAATAAAAGCAAAAATGAAAAATCAAGGAAAAATTAGTAAAATCGCCGAGGTAAATTGCTACGATGCTACGTGCGCGAATCGCGGCGGCAGCAAAGCGCATAGAAAATACTTAGAATAAACGAGTGTGGACGCTTGGTTGTTTGGTTGGATCCTCATGTGTTTGTGGGAATGCGCGGCGCTCTGACGGATTACTGGCAAGAATGCAGCCGAGTTGCTCTTGAGTTCTGGCCCTCGTCATCATCTTCTGTTCTTATTTTGTAGCACCTCCAATGTTATCCGCATCAGGAAATTGCGTTTTACTTGTATTTGAGAGCGCAATTAAAGGACTTGGCAAAGTGCCAAGGAGCCGCACGCGACACGCGCGCTTACGACGGATGTTATGAAGGACGGGAATCTGCGCCGCAAAAGGTGTAAGGCGGAGCATGGAGGAATTAGCGTGTTTCACGGTCCTGTATCTCCATTCCTGGGCATGTTTGGGCGGGAGGACCACGACACATCGAACAGCCGCGCTGGGGCTGATAGTCTCACTACACCGCTCAATGTGTTTGAGGCAGTGACCATGTGTCTTCCAAAGAAGGCTTAAGTTATGGCAAAAGCCAGACCGTGCAAACGAGAACTCGAAGCCGCAATCTCCCGCTTGACTGGGGCGGCTTGTAGCTAGGTACACCGGAGCGTTTTTAACGCTCCTATACGTCAATGGATTGTTTGTGGCCAGAAGCCCGTGTTAAAACTGTGACTATTTACTTAGGGCCTCTAGTGAAAGAATTATCACCGGCTAGGAGGAACATAGCTAATTTACTTATTTAGCACTAAACTGTTTTCCCTGCTGATCTGATGCTGAATGGTATTTTGCCTTCGCAAATAATGTCCATCAACTGATCAAGTACCAAGAATATAAAATAGCCTCATGTACAGCGGCGGGGCGCGCATATGGACGCAGAAGATTGTTAAAGAAATTACGCTGAATGCGACAGGGATTTCCTAGAGTGAATCTATATGTAAAGTAGCGACATGATCGTGCGGTGAAAACATAGATCCGGCGAGGAACTGCTATGTGACAATAGACTGTAATTGCCCGGCAAAGGTCAATGTGGAAGACCATCCGCTGCTCTTGTGGCACCGAGAGACGTCGCGTCCGGAGACAGAAGTGTCGGCGGCCTGGCCTTATAACTTCGAGTGCTGAATGGAACGGAAAAGTCAGTGTCGCCCATTATGAAGTCCTGTATCCGTTAAAATTCATATAAGTTCCGCTGCACACCGATCGGCAACCTGATGCGCACTAAGAGAAACCGTCGAGAACGCTCCTACATATATGGCCCCACTTACGCTAAGCGAGAGGTAAAGAATCTATGTGGATATCGAGCGAGAGGCCAGAGAAGGCAGCGAGAGAGCATTCAAACGAGAAAGACAGCAAACAAGACATCTATCACAGTAAGCGGAGTCACTAGCAACCTTGCCCTACCTTCACTACCTCTCACCACTTTCTGACGTGAAACTTATACATGCTTGTTTGTTGCAGTCCACACTAGCAGGGCTGTTCAAAGTGTTCTCGGTATTGAGGTATTTAGCGGTGACGAAGGAATTCGGAATCATTTCAATAGGTAACGACACTCCCTGAGGATATAAATACAGAAACCTTCATTTAGTTATCATCAATGCTATACTAGTTATCGTTGGTGAAAGAGTTGATAAAATGATTACTAATCTGAAAAATTGAGAAAAATGGAAAGAAAAGTGAGAAAATTAAAAGGAAACTTGGAAAATCATTATTATTACTCCTCGTCTCCCAACCTAAAGAAAGATTTCGTGGAAGCGCAATTTCAGTGCATGTTCATTCCTGAACATATACTAAAAGTTACTCCGTGAAAGGGTTTTTCTGTTGATGAAGAGCTGACGGCAGAATTAATTCAATACAATCTGGGGGCAAGGAGCAAAAAGATTTTCGGAAGATATCGAAAGTTGGTTTCCGAGCAATCAAGAGTACGGAGCTCATGGGGAACTACGTTTGAAAAATAAATTTTATTTAGAATTCTCTGCCTTTTCCTTCATACCTATACCGGGAATAATTGAACCCCTCTAGTACTTCTACTTGGTGTGGATTTCGACAAGTATCGACTGGATATACTCGGAATAAGTGAGGTACGATGGCTGAACAGTGGCCGCATCGTGAGTGATAACAAAACAGTGTTGTATTCCGGCCATGAAGAAAAGCACGA